TGCCTGCATGGCAGCCTTGCGTAAGAGAAAAGGAAGCACGTTGGAGGAGCAAGCTACATCTTCACTCAACGAGCTTCCCTTGAGCAGGGACGCGATGTCTTAACCATGCCAGCTGACCCGCAGCGTGCTTTTCCCAGTGGGAGCTTGCACTGAGGTGAAGTGTTCCTCGCGGATATTGAAGGATTCCGCAGAAGTATTGGGCCGATTTCGGTAGGCGGCCAGGTGACCAGGTTTCAGGTTCCCCGCTCCAGGTCCTCCCCTTTGCTGTAGGGATTCGGCGAAAATGTGCAGCCGATGTCGGTGAGGGTGGTCCCAGGTTTCTTTCTGAGGGATCTTGGTGAGAGTCTCCCTCCGATTCTAGTGGGTGGCGGTGGCCGCGTGCCCAGGTTTCAGGTTCCCCGCTCCAGGTCCCCGGCTACTTTTGCTGTAGGGACTTGGCGAAAGTGTGCAGCCGATGTCGGTGTGGGGGGGGGGTCCCATATTCTTTGTTTCCTGCTTCTTGGTGAGAGTCTCTCGCCGATTCCAGTGGGCGGCGGGGTTTTCGGCTTCCCAGGAGTGGAGCATACATATACTTCTTCGAGATAATGGAGAGCGTAGGGGTACGATGTGTATGATAGAAAGAAGACAGAGTGGAATTAGTGAAGAAAGCAAATCTAACAGAGAGTGTGCATATCGTAGATCGCACAGAGATGAGAGCGAGGAGGAGCATACCTTATAGAGGCGAGAGCACGGAGAAGCGCGGGATAGTGCATAGTGCAGAACGCAGAGAGCAGATACCAGGAAGTTGAGAGTCAAGAGTCGGGAGGCGATACCAGAGAGTATAGTGTACGGGGGAGAGCGTATATAGCATATCGTGGACAGGATGACAAGCGTCGAGGGCAGGGCATATGATATAGCACATCAAATGTTGCTTAGAGACACGAGCGTAGGGAGCATGCAGCAGCGAGTAGAGAACGCAGATACGCACAATCGTCGTCTTCTGCTCCGCCAGCCCCCAGCGCGCGGTCTTCAACGTTTACGCACAACCAACTGATTCAGGCTTTCTTTGCTGTAGTTGACCCCGAACCCCCTTTATATCATTATGATCAGGGCGCCTTCGTGAAGCAAGCAGGCTGGGTTTCGCTTCTCTGGAAGCCCACTGTCGCCCGGCTTGTCATGCCTGTTTCGGGCGTGCTTGCGGGAGATGGGGGCGCAGGAAGTGCGCCTGTGGAAGGGGCGCAGATCACCGTTGAAGCAACCGGTTTCTTGGACGAGATCCCAGGCCTCGTCCCGTAAGAAAGTAATGGTGCAGGGGCCCGCCGTCAGAAGGCTAGCGCGTCATTTCTTTTCTCGTGTTGCCAGTCGTCGGGGAGTGTGGCAGGGATGCCCAGCCGCGGGCGGCGGCGCACGCGCGCAGGAGCTGGCGCGGTGCTTGGACTCGCTGGTGGGGGACCCTTCTGGCGGCGCCGCCGAGGAGCGACGGCAGCTGGTGACAGGGCCGCTGGGTTGCTCCGAGCGGTTGGGCCGCCCGCCGCCCGCCTGCATTTCCTCCCCCTCCCACCGCTCGAGGAACAACTAAATGAACGAGCATAACATGTCTGAGGTCCGAGCGGATCTCTTGGGCTGACGCTTGGCCTCCCCTGGCAGCGCCTCTGGCGGTCCAGAGTCGATTTTAAGAAATCCGCGCAGACCCCTGAGAAAGTTGATGCTTATACTCTCCACCCGGCAAGTAGAGGTCGTTAGATTTTGAGAACAGGCCTCCCGACCCGCCCACCCTGCATACCGCGGCCGCCAGATCCCCAGGCCCACCGAGAATCCACGGTATCCCCTCCCCTCCAGACCCAGCCTGCCCACTCTGCAGACCGGGACCGCCAGATGCCCAGGTCCACAGAGTCCCCGAGACTCCCGCCCCTCCAGACCAAACTCGCCCATTGTGCATTCCGCGGCCGCCAGATCCCCGGTCGACCGAGTCCCCGAGACTCAAGTCAAGTCAATAACGCCGTGTCTGCACGACACATCGGCTGAGGAAGTGCCGCCGGCTGGAGGCGCATGTCCAGACCAGGGCACAGAAATCAAGGACAGTTCAGGAAAAGGTATACCGGCTGGCGATTGTCCTCCACACGTGCGGGTCATAGTATCCAGGATTGAGAAATTTAAACAAGTCGCTCCCCTGAGGGGAAGGGGCGGGGAGAGGGAGGGCAGGAGGGGGGGAGGAGGACGAGGAGGGGGGGGAGAGAACCCTGGTCGCCAAGAAGGCGTGTGCTCTGATCACCGAGCCCCACGTCAGCCGGGGTCGGCCTCTCCGCCTCGGCGCGCGTGGGCTGGCGGGCTCGACAGATCCTGCGCCGAAAATGGTGCGTCTGAGGAGCGAATCCGGCATGGCCGCGATCCTGCCAAAAGACAACAGCCGTCGGAATAGAATTGTTTGGCTCAGTGCCACTTCGTGTGCTCGTCGACGCACCTCAGCATTCGTGACCCGCGACACCATGGAGTGCGGCATGCCCAATATTTGCCGGAGGAAGTGCGCGTAGAAGGCATCGAGCTTGTCCCTGTCAGTTTTCTTGAGGCAGAGCGTCTCGATGCCGTAGATAAGTTTATTCATGATGTACGCCCAGAACGACCTAAGTTTGCGTGCTCGCCAGATGTTGGCGTGCCGCCATACTAGTCGGAGGGTGTGAAACGCAGCCCTCGCCTCTGATTCTCCTTGCCACGGCTGTGCCAGACGTCACTGGCTTCATTGGGATTCCGTCTTGAGCGAAGATGTCCGAAGCATGCCTGACTCGTAGATGCACGGTCTTCGGCCAATTTGATTCTAGTCCGTACGCGTGGGCCCTCGCAATGAGATGGTTCAGAAAATGTTGCGCTCTTGGTATATCATCTGAATCACGCGCCGTATCGTCGGCAAAAGTGGAATCGAAACACATGTTATCCGATGGAGATGGGCCGAGCTCGTTCACCAAGTCGGCCTGTGCATCCGTCATGAGAATGGACAGCATAATGATGAAGAGGTAAGGGCTCAGTGGGCAACCCTGGACAATATCCGCTCCTATTGGGCGAGTTCTGAAGGAGCCATGGCTATCTGTCATATCGAACGTGCGATTGGTATACATGCGATGGATCATGTCGCAGTAGGCCCGCGGGATGCCAAACCGGGCAAGGGCGATTTGGAGGGCTGCTGGGTTTATCTTGTCAAAGGCCTTCGACTATTCTAGTAGTATGGCTGATAGTTGCCCGTCCTTGGGCCCCCAGGTCCTTGCGATCGCTCTTTGAGCTAAGAAGATCGCGTCAGTGGAACGCCTCTGCGTCCGGAAACCGAATTGCTTGTCCCTCAAACCCCTCCAGTGGACATTCTGTTCAGAATGAAGCTCGCCGCGACCTTGTAGCTGACGGACAAAAGAGAGATTGGCTGGTAGTTCTGTGGCGAGGACTCGTCGCCCTTCTTGAAAGTGGCCGCCACTGCGGAATGCTTCTAGGAATGGGGAATGAGCATAACAGAGCATAACTACTAGCACAGAGCATAACAGAAACTAGCAGGACATAGCAAAACATACTAACTGAACAACGCTGCACTAAAGAGCATACCATAACATAGCATCACAGACCAGGGCTTGATACATTCATACCATAGCATAACATCACACCGCGTAGCATACCAGTGCGGATCATACATTGACTAGTTCGACATGCTGTAAAATAGCGTCACAAACCACAACACCCCAGATCATGGCACAACATACCGTGCCCAAGTGTGATATTGCATCTAATCTGGTGTCACGGCAGATCATAGCATACCATATTATACTAAAAGACCGCATGGCATACCCTAGCGTTTCATAACACCTCATCGGGCATACCAGAACGTGATAGCACAGTGCATACCATAACGGAGCACGCTAGCGTATATCATAATTGTTCCTATCATATCATACCGTACGTTTTGTACGATAGCTACCACGGCGGCACCTAATGTAATCGAGCATCATCGGACGCTACGCATTGACGAGGAGGTTATGCCATGCCATAAGGGAAGCATCACGTAGTGGCCAGGCCGCAACTTTGCCATCATACATTCACATACTTGCTGTACTACTGTTACCACTACGGTAACGACTATGATACATCTCCGAAGCATGCAGCAACGTTTAAGAGGTGTGTCATCACCTGAGCAGGGCACCACACAGCATAAAGTCAACGATACCTCGCAACCAGCATCGCAGAACAGAGCATGCCAAACGAGCACAAGGTAACGTACCGCTTCACCGTATGACAGAATTGTTTATAACATCGTATACTCTGAAATTAGCGGGTGGACACCACTGACATCATACCACAAACGACAATATTTGAATACATTCAAGCGCGACGGCCGCGCGGAAGACAGGCTGGCCATCGTAACGAACAAGCGCATGAACGACCGATGCGACGACACATCTAATTTGACAGGCGTCACGACGTCCCGCTGGCCCCTTCAGAACATCACAGAACATCTTACAGTATATCAGAATCGACCATGGCGGAGTACATCATAGTTGTACGCTTGTTAATTACGGCAATGGCAATTTAGTTATGCAGCTGCCTCGCCGACGTAAGGTTGGCTACAGGACAGAAACAGGCACAACAACCGACTTGACGACAAATCAAACGTGGCAGGCGTCACGATGCCACGCCGCCCCAGCGAAAGCAACACAAAACAAACTACATGTGCATAGAACAGAGCAGGGCCGAGCAGCACGTCACATAGTACAATACAGCAGAGACCTAGTACTGCCGTCCTATCATACGCGACATGCGCGCCGAGCCTACGCTGGCCACAGCAACAAACAGCAGCAGCAAGCAGCAACGACCGATTATACGACATATCGAACGTGACAGGCGTCACGACGTCATGCCGCCCCGGCGAAGCCACACCAGAACAAACCATATGTGCATAGGACAGAGAAGAGCCGACCATACTGCCACAGAGTATACGACAGCAGGGGCCGAGCAATGCCGTCCTATCATGCGCGACATGCGGGACGAGCCTTCGCTGGCCAGAGAAACAAACAATAGCATCACCAACGACCGACTTGACGACATTACAGGCCGAACAGGCGTCACGAAGCCCCGCCAGCCCGTCCAGAACAGAGCATAATATAACATAATGTCATTTACCACACGGGGCAGAATCCACGCGAAAAGCATAGAGCACACATTTTACAGCAGCCATCAATTCACAGCGTCCCATCCCACGAACATCATAACATAATCGGCCGCATCATGCTCTAATCAGACGCGCCGTGCGCGTCGAGGTCAGGCTGGCAACAGGAACAAACAGGCGCAGCGACGACCAATTGGACGACATATCTAAAACGTGGCAGGGTCACGACGTCACGTCGGCCCGTCGAGAACACAATGGAGCGCGATGGAACTACATCATATTTGAACGCGGTTAGATACAGCAGCGGCAGGTTAAAGGCGCTTTGTCAAGCGTTACGTCCGCGCCAGCGTAAGGCTGGATACAGGACCAATCAGGCGAACCAACGACCGATTAGACGTCACGCCGCCCCGTCGAGAGCAAATCCGAGCGAACCGCGTGTACAGATAATACATTATAATCGAGCATAGCGTGGCAGAGTATATTTCAGAAACGACCGACTAAGAGCGTTTTTATCAGAAGCGACATGCGCGCCGAGCTCAGGCAGGCCACAGTAAGACCGTATCAGACGCGGGCACACACGATAACGAAGGTTTCGGTAGGGATCGTTCGAAACAGAATAATTGTTGGTGCTCCTCGACCGCCGCCCCCTCCCGCCCTCCTCCCTTCCCCTCCTTTTGCTTCCCCTTCTTCGGCTTCCCTCTCACATCTCAGGTCCTCGATCCAGGGCCCCCCCTGAGCCGTCGGCTGGGGCGATCCAAACGGGGTCGGGACGGTCGATTGGGCCCTGGGAGGAGGTCGCAGGATCAGTGGATCAGTTTGGACATGGTTGTGGGGTTTTTCTTTTTTCTCTGAGGTCCGCACAAGGCATTCCAAACATCATGCCTGGCCAGGGTCCCCTTGGGCCCTATAAAGGTGCACAGACCCTCGTGGCCTCGGTCGGCCAGGACCCAGCGTGGCTTTCTTTGGCCAGGCGTGGTGCGTGGTGGTGGTGGTGGGTATCCGTTCCTTCTGCGCATCAGGTGCCAGGGGGCCTCGGGGGAGCGCCCCCCCCCCTCCCCCCCCCAGATGGACGGGTCGTTCCGTCCTCCTCGCGCACGCGCAGTCGCGAAAGCGTGCCCGCAAGGAGGAAGCGCAGTACCGCGTCCGCGACATTTTGGAGGACGAGGTGGTCACCTTCTTGCCCCAGACTTGATCTTGTGCGGGAGTTGCTGCTGCTGCTGCTCCTGCTGCGGATTGTCAGTTGCCCCACCCGCCACCAACCTCGGAGGGGACGTCGAGAACGCCACTGATTTCCTAATGGGTTCCATCGTGGGATCGAGTGGGGGAGCTCGCAAGCTCAGGTTGACGCTTGAGGACCTTACACGCAACTAGTACTGGTTAGGGTGGTCTGGGAGGAGGAGGATGAGGAGGAGGAGGGGCAGTGGTCGTTGATTTCTGCCAGTCCTTGTGTCCATGCTGGGATCCAAGTGTCGCTCTACACACCTTCGGTAGCAGAGCACTGGCTCGCAAGCACACGGAGCGAGATCCGTATGCCCCCACGACGACAAGACCATTGCAGGGGCCGCCATTCGTCGGAGTTGTTGGTGGTGGTGGATGCACTTGCGCGGGTGGTTGACCAGGGGAAGGGGGTGGTGAGGGGGGGAGCGAGAAGATGGCAGGGGAATAGAGAGAGAGAGAGATATAGGGACAGAGAGAGAGAGAGAGACGGTGCTTCGGAGAGGTCGGGGGGTGAACGCACCACCAGCGGGCTCAGCGAGCTCAGAACAACTCGAGGAGGGACTCATCCATGATGACTTCGATCTCCAGGCGCAGCCGCACTGGCAGCCGCCGCACTGGCGCCGCGCCGCTGCGCCGCCGAGACGCCTTCGACCGCCACGGACGATCCGAAGAGCCCCGCAGCCCGCCTCGCTTTCGCGCCACCAGCCTTTACCACATCCGCCGCGGCGCCAGACGCCGCCGATGCCCCCGAGGCATCGTGCTGCGTCGCCCGCCACCGACCAGCACGGCGTGGCGGGAAGGCATCAGTCCAGAAGTCGTCGAGGGGGTCGCGGTCGCCTGCAGCTGACTCGAGCGCCACCTCGCGCCGCAAGCCGTCGCACACCTCCGCGGCCATCGTGTTGACCACTCCACTCCCCCGTCGCCACTCCAGCATCCGCTCCTCTGCCACGCCCATGCGGGCGGCGCTGCCGCCGAGGGGCAGCGGGTGGCGCAGCCGCCTCCCTTGGCCGTGCGAGCTGTGCGGAGAAGGCCCTCGGCGGCGCAGATGAGGCGCACGGCCTCCCGCTGCCCGCCCGCCAGCACTGCTGCCGCATGCGTCGCCAGGACCGCGCCGTGCGAAGCCTCCAGCGTCGCCTTCGCAGCGCGGGCGCCCTGCGTATTGGGACGGCATCGGTCGGCGGCGACAGATTTGAGCCAATATTGTATTGGGGAGGGGAAGGGAGGTAGGAGGGGCAGGCGGAAGAGGGATCGGGATGGAGGAATCACATGGATGGAGGGGCGATTGGGGGAGGGGTATGCGGGCATGAGGGATGCAGAACGGAAAGAGGAGCGAGCGCCGAGTTGTGTAGCTTGCCTGGGCCCATCGCCCCCCGCTAGCGGGCGGTGGCGCAAGCAGCGTCCTAATCTGAGTTCAGGCATGGACCCGGGCGAAAATATACCCGGTGAAAGATACCCGGTGCCTCGGGATGTTGCAATTTTTGCCACGTGCAAACGCATTCCGCCATTTGTTCGAGAAGGGGGAAGTGGGGAGGATATAGAAGCAGGAGAAATATGGGATGAGGGGTAGGGCAGGGCCAGAGTGAGGGAGTGGGGGGAAAAGGGAGGAAGACAGGCGAAGAGGTAGTAGGGAGGACGGAGAAGAGACCAGGACCCCGGTGGTGTGAGATGTTGGTGGGAAGTTCCTGCAGCTTGGCCGGTTGCTGCGAGGGCCCGCTCGCCCTTGCCCCTTGACGGTTAACAGGAGGGCAAGATGGTGCGGCGAGGCGTCCTCGATATCGAGTTTCCGTGACGGCGAGGTCGCCTTGCCAGAGGAAGTTATCGAAGACGCCTTCGGCGGGCCACCGCCGCCACTTGCCTTCGGGAAACGCCTGTGCCGAGAAGTGTGAATGAAAAGTGCGGCCGCGCTAGTGGATTCGTATTCCCTTGGCCGTTGAGGAAACCACTGAGAGCTGGGAAGGGGGCCGTCTTGGGGCTGCCTTGGGGCTCTTTCCGGCCTTTTTTTGGCCTTGGGGGCCTCCTGGGGCTCTATCGATTCGTCTTGGGGCTGTCTTCGGCCGTTGTATGATGCTCTTGGGCCGTTTCTGGTGCCTTTGTGGGCAGTCTTGTTTGGGGGTCTCTCAGGGGCCGTCTGGGGGCTCTCTTGTGCCGTCTTGGGGTCCTCCGTGGACCGTGTTCGGTTTTTTGAGGCCTTCTGGGGCTGTCTTGGGCCAGGCTTGGGGTACGTCTTGGGCGCACTTCAGACCAAGAACAACTCAATGGGCTAAATCGGCTCAATGAGTTTGGCCTCTTCCCCTTCTGGGTGATCTCTCGGAGCTCTCGTGGGCCGTTCTGAAGGCCTCTTGGACCGTCTTGGGCCCGTCTTTGGCAATCGTAGCGATATCTTGAGCCGTCTTGGAGTCTTTTAGGCCATGTTGGATCGACTTGACAGTGTCCACGGGCCGTCTTAGAGTTTTCGTGGCGGCGAGATCAGGTTGCCAGTGCCGTGTATCTAGTGACCTTCTGCCCATCCCACCACCGTTACTGGGTCGTGAACAAGAGGGCTCTCAGAGACATTTTGGGGTCTCTTGGGAGCCTCTTGGAAGCTGCCCGGGGGCCTCTTGGAGGTCTCTCTGTTCCTCTTGGAGGTCTCCTTGGGCCTCTTGGGCCCGTGGGGTCTCTTGGGGGCCTATGGGGGCTTCGTATTCTTCGTGCCTGATGGCGATGATCTCGGGGGCCATCCTGGGGGAATGGCCCGAAGTGTCAGTGCGGTTTCCCCCCTTGGGTCTTTCTTAGAGCCGTCCAGAGGGATCTCCACAGGAAGGACCCGGGGGCCTTTTCAGGCCACGTTTGAAGTGTGGAATTCCGACCACGCCCCCGAGGCCTTGGGAGATGTCACGTTGGGGCCCCCAGAAGCGCGCGAGAGTACCAAGGAATTCCCAGAGCTCAGCCGTCTGGGGCCCGTCAGGGGGTTACTACAATGATCAGCGCAGAGAACGCGAAACGACCGCAGGACATTGCCTTTTGTTGGCCCACTGGTTCGAGCTGTCCTCTGTGTGACCGTCCAGAGAAAGCGTGATGTGGTGGTGCTGGCCGTCGACCGAGGCGGTGTGGTGGGGCGGGGCACTTCTCCTCGGGTCGGGGGGGGCTCTCTGGCATGCTTGGGGCCGGGGCGTGAGGCGATGCCCCGCCATCGGCCAGCCCCCCTGGCCTCCGCTCTGCCCAGCCCTCGGGCCGCGCCGTGCGAGGTTGACGCCCTCGACTTCGCGCGGAATGTCTTGGGCCTGGCGGACGGCGACCCAGAGGCCGGGGAGGACACCACCCCTGGGAGCAGGGCCTCCTTGTTGTTGCTCCCCATGTGTTTCGTGGGGTTCTGGTTTTCATCCCTGCCGCGTCGCACTCGCGACCCTCACTCACCTCCCCTCCTCCTCCTTCTCCTTCTCACACCGCAGCACAGCACAGCACAGCACTGCTCCGCACAGCACAGCACAGCACGACGGTCGCCCAGTGCACAGCAGGCGTACCATATGGAGTGCGCAGGGGGTGGTCCCCGAGCGCGGCGTGTATGCGGGCCATGGCGCAGGGCATGGCAGGCGTGGTACGTTCTCGACGCCAGAGGGGGTGCGCAGGGGTTGGTCCCCGAGGGCGGCGTCTATGCGGGCCATGGCGCAGGGCATAGCGGGCGTGGCATTTTCTCGACACCATAGGGGGTGCGCAGGGGGTGGTCCCCGAGCGCGGCGTCTACGCGGGCCATGGCGCAGGGCATATCAGGCGTGGTACGTTCTCGACGCCAGAGGGGGTGCGCAGGGGGTGGTCCCCGAGCGCGGCGTCTATGCGGGCCATGGCGCAGGGCATAGCAGGCGTGGCACTTTCTCGACACCATAGGGGGTGCGCAGGGGGTTGTCCCCGAGCGCAGCGTCTACGCGGGCCACGGCGCAGGGCATAGCAGGCGTAGCACTTTCTCGACGCCAGAGGGGGTGCGCCAGGAGTGGTCCCCGAGCGCGGCGTCTACACGGGTCATGGCGCAGGGCATATCAGGCGTGGCTGTTTCCCGACACCATAGGGGGTGTGCAAGGGGTGGTCCCCGAGCGCGGCGTCTATGCGGGCCATGGCGCAGGGAATAGCAGGCGTGGCACTTTCTCGACACCATAGGGGGTGCGCAGGGGGTGGTCCCCGAGCGCGGCGTCTATGCGGGCCATGGCGCAGGGCATAGCAGGCGTGGCATTTTCTCGTCGCCAGAGGGGGTGCGCAGGGAGTGGTCCCCGAGCGCGGCGTTTACGCGGGCCATAGCGCAGGGCATAGCAGGAGTGGCACTTTCCCGACACCATAGGGGTTGCGCAGGGGGGGTCCCTGAGCGCGGCCGCTACCCGTGCCGGTGGTCCAGGGCATAGCAGGAGTTGCACTTTCCCGACACCATAGGGGGTGCGCAGGGGGTGGTCCCTGAGCGCGGTCGCTATCCGTGCCGGTCGTCCAGGGCGCTGCTGTCCGTGACGGTCGTCCAGGGCATAGCAGGCATGGCATATTCTCGACACCACAGGGGCTGCGCACAGGGTGGTCCTTGAGCGCGGCCTCTATCCGTGACGGTGGCGCTCGAGGCAAGTCGGTACGCAAGTTTGCTATCCGTGCCGGTCGCGATCAGGGCACAGGGGAACGCTGGCGGAGCAGGCGTGGCATATTCTCATAACCTTAGGGGGTCCGCAGGTGGTGGTCTCTGAGCGCGGCCGCTATTCGACCCGGTCGTCCAGGGCGCAACAGGCGTGGCACTTTCTCGACACCATAGGGGGTGCGCAGGGAATGGCCACCAACATCATTCTCACATGCTTCACTTCAGCTATCATCACTCCAGCCATCATATAAGTATGTGGGGGTCCTCGGTAGCGTAATTTGGCTTCTGCTCCTGTTGCTGTTCTTCCTGCTGCCCCTGTTGCTTTCCTTTTCCTGCTACTTCTCCGCTGTTGCTGATCCTGATGTTGCTGCTCCTCGTCCTTGCCCTCCTCTGGGCCTGGTGTTCCTGCAGGGAGTGGCGAATGGCCGCTCCGCAACGGCGTCCCCGTCCAATGTGGGCCTTTGCGTCCCTCGTCAAGGCACCATGAATATCGCGATGGAGCAGGCGTAGCATGCCCCCCCAAGGGGCCACCAGGGGGTATGACGCGGGCTTGGTCGCGTCTACACTGGCGAGAACTCTCAAGTGTAATGCCCGCTTGGGGCGGTGGGCGTCGTCTCTGAACCCATGGTCATCGCGATCTAACAGGCATAGCACTCTGGGGTCCCAAAGGAGAGCCACCAGTGGGTATGACAGGGGCACGTTCGCGCCCAGATTGGCGGAACCTCTCATGTAACATGCCCGTTTGAGGTGGTGCACGTGTTTCTTTTACGAGACGTAGCAGGCATGCCACTTGGGCCTCCCAACAGGGAACCACCAGGAGGTATGGCATGGGCTTGATCGCGTCTAGATTGGTAGGTGCCCTCGGGTAGGCTCCCCGTTTGTGTCGGTGAACGCTGTTGGTTACCCTGCACACGCAGGAGTTACAATGATCATCGGGATGCAGCAGGCACGCCATTTGCTGTTCACATAGGGGAGCCCGTTCGCGCCCAGATTGGTGGAACTTAGTGCCAGTTTGGGGCGATGCCCTACGTTGAGTCTGCGAGTTGCTTTGCAACTTGAAGCTCCCAGAAGCCCCAGGATCCACAAGAAATTCCCAGAGCGCCACAGGCCCCGAGTTCCAGGGGATGCCAGGGTGCCTCTGGGCACCAGTGGCGCCAGGACTCCCCAGTGAATCTCGAGGAATCCCGATGATCCCATATTACTCGTGTCCAGACTTGCCCATACCCAAATGCATTAGCATACAGGCCCGTTTGTATTCAGACTCGCGCGTGCAACGCCACACACGCTCAGGTTCGCTGGCATCCAGATCCAACCAGACCCAGACGCTCCGACTCACTCACAACCATGCCCGTTTAAGCGCATACCCACTCATACACAGACGCATTTGTATTGAGACATTCTTCCTCAGCCAATCATATCCAGACCTGCCCACAGCCAGACGCACTGTCACCCAGACTCAACTCATACCCAGACGTAGCCATAATCATACTCATTCGTACACAGTCTCTCGTACCCAGCCACTCTTACTCGGACCCACTACCGCCCAGGCGCACGCATACGCATAATCTCGTATTCAGACTCGCTGATATTCAGACCTACTCAGACACTCATGCAGGCAAGAGCCAAGAACTATCTGTACATCTGGGCGCCCCCGCGCCAAACACGATTTTACGTGCTGGCTCGGCATACGACAGCCCGCACCGACGTAGATGTGTTCCTACTGCGCGATGCAGTTGGCGAGCATATCGAGACTGTGAGTCCAACGACACGTTTGCTTGTCGAAAATGTTTAAAAAATCATAGATTCCGATTTGGCGAGTGGTCAAGCTGGAATGTGTCGCAGGTGTGGGTTGCTATGTGAACATGCGATCGGCAAGTGTGCAGTGGTCGAGTTCGTTCAGCGCGCATGTTGAGCAGTCCCTTGGCAAACTCAATTGGTTCATCGGGGTCACCGGCCCCCACCAAATCATGCCATGACACTTGGCATGTTGTTTGAACACCCTACTGCGCAAAGTGCTTGCGCTACGGGTATCTTGTCGGTGTCGTAAGGCATTGGCTCGATTTCAGGTTTTCTCTTGGTGATCGCATCGATCCCATCCCGTGCGCTGGTTGGCAGTGCCAGACTTTCGGTTAGTTCTCACCCGTGCCAGCCTCGTGACGCCTCGTGCGGTCGTGGGTACACACATAGATCGCACCACATAGCTTGCAGCACGTATATTGCACCACGTGTCTTGCAAGCCAATGCGTAGTCCCGGTGATAGCCTTTGCATAGCCTATGATAGGGTCTTGTCGGTCTGTGCGTAGCCTGCCTATCGGCCTCCTAGAAGTCTTTTTTTCATAGCTTACCTATAGGGCTAAGATCGTTTGACAGGTAGCCTATAGGTGGGTCTCCACTAGACCTATCGTTGGGAGGTTGTACATTGGCTTACTATCTCGTGCGCCATAGGCCCCATTACTGCTTGTGCGCAGGGCTGCTATGGACCAATGCACAGCCTATGGAAAGGCCTACGACTGGCCTAAGGATAACCTGCCAATAGGTTTATCGGAAGCCATTCACGGGGCTTGCTGGCCCATGCATCTTAGGGTCCACTATAGGCTACGCACAGGCCTACAATCGGTCTATACGCAGTTTGTGAACAGGCCCCGCAGTAGGCCGATGCACAGCCTGCGAATAGACCTGCTACAGGTCTGTGTATAGGAAAAGCGCAGGCCTGCGGTAGGCCTCTGGTGGGCCTATAGGGAGACTGGCGCCCCGCGGTAGGCCTATGCGCAGTCTGCGCATAGGCTTACCATAGGGTTGCGCATAAGCTACCCACAGGCTTGCGGTAGCCCTCTGGAGGGCTGATGAAGTGACTGGCGCACCGCGGTAGGCCTATGCACAGCCTGCGCACAGGCCTACTACAGACTTGTGCATATGCTGTGCACAAGTCTGTGGTAGGCTGGTGGTGGGCCTATGGAGGGGCCAGCGTCCAGCGATAGGCCTATGCACAGCCTGCGCATAAACCGACCACAGACCTTCGCATAGGCTATGCGCAGGCCTGTGGTGGCTCGGTAGGGCCTACGGAGGGGCCAGCACCCTGCAATAGGCCTACGCACAACCTTCTTCGCATAGGCCTACTATAGGCCTGTGCATAGGCTATGCACAGGCATGTGGTAGGTATTTGGTGTGCCTATGGATGGGCCGGCGCCCCTCGATAGGCTCATGCACAGCCTGCCCATAGGCCTGCCATAGGCTTGAGCACAGGCTGCGCATAGGTCTGTGCATACACCACGGATCGGCCTACCGCAGGCTCTTTGCATAACCTACCCATAAGGCTATTACAGGCCTGTGCGGAGCCTGCCGGTAGGCCTATCATAGACATATCGATCGCCTGTTGCTGGGCCTGCCAGCTCATGCGCCGTAGTCCCTGTTAAAGCTTACGCATAGGCCTACTATTGGTTAGCGCATAGGCTGTGCACAACGGATTGCCATCTGATATGAAGCACGTCATAGCCTGCACCACGTGGTTTCTGCACCACATGGAGAAATGTTCTGGAACATGTCCCCCCCACCACCAACCAGGCCAGGGCTCTTGACATCCCAGCGCGCATGTGCTTGTCATGTATATTGTGCACGGTCGTCCATTCGATAGTTTCATGTATAAATGTAGAACAACAAGAAAACATCATATCATCCCCTGCCATCCGGTATGGCTTCTCTCTCCGCCCT